GGCTCAATGGCCAGCCAGAGCTTTGAGCAGCAAGGGAGCTCGGCCTGGCAAGCCACGAGCAAGAGCCCCAAGCCAGTGGGAGGAGGGAGAGGTGCGTATTGGAACATCTCGCTGAGACCGGGAGGCCTCAGTCACCAGAGGCAAGCGAGGAGAGGTTATTGCAACCTCTGGGGCGAGACCGGGAGGCCACAGTCGATTGGGCGAGTGAGGTTATTGGAACCTCTGGCGATGCCTCCACTGCCCCCAGAATGACAGAAGTCAACAGGCAAGTCAGGCCGATGCAGGTCACCCTACCAAAGAACGGCCCTCAGCCCATGGAGGTGAAGCCCCCCCAAGACCACCCTCAGCCCAGGAAAGTGGATCCCCCCTGAGACCACCCCCAGCCCATGGAGGTGGATCCACCCCCAGATGAGCAAAAGCAAGTGCAGGTGGATGTGCCTCCGGCAGGCTCCTTGGGACACCACCCCAACATGGCCCCGGTGTCCCCAGCACTGCCGTGCCCAAAGTGCCAGGAGACCAATGTGGGCTGCCAGGGACCCTCCAAAGCCCCTGCTCCCAGGAAGCAGCGCCAGCCCCGCCACCAGCACTGAGCAGGGAATCCCAGCGGCACCCCTTGGGCCAGCCCCTCAGAACCTGGCTGTCCGGCCACTGCTCAGCCTCACTGCTGTCCCACCCCTGGCCCAGTCCACCATAAAGGGGGCGGTGCCATCTCCTCCCTGAGCCCTGGGCAAGAGGCAAGGGTTGGGGTTGTGATCTACTGCCTGGCAGTGCTGGAGCGCTGCAAGGAAGCTGTTGGAGACCCCCAGGGAGAGATGGAGACCTTCAGACCATCTGACCCACCTGAGACCACCAGAGGCCACCTGAGACCATCGGACCCTGCCGGAGACTGTCGCAGAGCATCAGACTGTTGGAAAGAGTCAGAGGCCAATGGCATCAGACCCTTCTTGAGAGCAGCGGACCAGCTGGAGACCACCAAACCCCACCAGACACCATTGGAGAGTGCCAGAGAACATTGGACAAGGTATACCTGTGATATTATAATCTGGGATTAATATTGAATACCAAGAATAGTGGTTTTAAGGGGCTACACTGAACAGCTTAAATCTCAGAAGTGACAGACTGGTCCTGTAGGAGAGGTTTGTTCTAAATACATTGGGTTTAGAAGTTCTTCCCGTTCATGTTTTGACTGTACTCAGTCATAATTAGACCAAGCAAAGCACCTAAGGTATTCTGAAAAATAGTATCAGAATTCTGTCACTTTTAAGTAGGATAAATGCTACCTTGATTGTCAAGAAGCTGTTGCTTTCAGCATTTTACAGGACTTTGTTGTTCCAAGTGTCTGAGAGGCAGATATAAAGTATTAAGCTGTTGTGTCACAAAGTCACTTAATGAGAGCATGAAAGGGTTTTTCTATTGAAATCAAGGCAGCAAAAGGCCTACCAGTTGCCAATACCCATCAGGATGGACCACTTGAGCCCACGAGTCCTGCTGTGCCACAGTCCTTTGGGTAAGGTAATTTCTGAGCAACGAAGTCACCTTTTAGGAATTCCAGTGAATGCTGAGACCTGGGAGTGTCTCTTGCCCAAATGGGTCTTTCTCAGATCATTTTTGTCTGGCACAGAGTAGATGACCACAAAGGTGCAGAAAGAGCAAGTGAACTCCTCAAACTCGCTCCCTCTGTCAATGACAGAGAACTGCAGCTACTTGCAGATTGCCAGCCTGTTTGGGCCTCTGCTGTGTCACAGGTTAGGGAATAACAGTTGTCACTTGTGGTGGCCCTTACTCCTGCCACATTTGGGTTTTGATCAAGTGAGTTGCTGCAGAGATACCATATATCTCAATATTCATTAGGACATGGGCCCAGGAGGGGCCTTTATCCTCCCCTCAGAGCTCCTCAGATAAACTGGCAATCTGGTTTAATACTGAACAAGTCCTTCTTTTTTTCTTCTTCTCCTGGAGAACAGAAGGAAAAACAATATGATTTTTGCAGGGAGCTCCCAAGGACCAGACTCAGTCATTTGTGTGTTGGCCTGAAGAACAGCCATTCTGTGCAGTGGGGTTACCTGTAAGAGTACAACTCAGCTGGGCAGCAGGGGCAGAACTTGCACCCAGGAGTTTTTTTAATGTGTGATTCTAGAAAGACGTGTAGTCCTGGAAGTAAAAGATTTCTCCACAGAGACTAGATAAGGAATAAGGTGCCTGCTCTACCTGCTAGGTATGAGACAGATCAGTCTAAAAGGAAACACAAATACCTTGGGTGGGGTAGCAGGACATCTCCTTATGTCACCTGTCCAATCACAAAATTAACCAGATTTCACCTGCCTTTTTTTTAGTTGTTTCTGCATTATCAAACCATATTACTGGCATATCTCAGGCCATAGGATAATTGCTCAATAAATTAACTTCACCACTTTCCCAAGAGGATCTGGACCAGACATAAACAACCTGTTGGACCCTCAGTTGTTGCAAGCTGTTCAAAAAAGCTAGGTCAGAAGAAACCAAAAAATGAAATAGACAACTGGAGAGTAGAAATTAAATGATCAATGCAACCTATGCCTGCCCAGGTACATTCCTGTTTATTTTAATGTGCTTTGGGGTTTTTAAAATTCCAGAGTATTTTGATACATGAAGTTCTCTCAGCTTCTTCACATCTTTTCACTTCTGCTTTCCTCCCATGACTACAGGTTTTCCCATGGGTTCTGCCTAGCTTTGGGGTTTCTTTTGCTATTTGATGAAACTAGGAGCTAGACTGGGACTGGGACCAGCCACTGCTGTGGCTTTACTTGGATGCTGCTTCAGCCACAGTGGCAGAGAGAAGGCTGCTTCTGTGCTGGAGGACATGGAGCCAGAACGGCTGGTCCTCATTCTGTTTCCCTGACCCAGTGTCTTGTGGGGAGCAGGTTATACCAACAGGCCTTAATGATACAATCTTTCTTCCTTCTCCAGAGGTAAAAAGGTGGCAAACCCAAAAAGATTCAACTAAACCCAGATAATCAGTAAAATATGTCTGGGGGGAAAAAATGTAATTCCCTGGGAAATGCCATCTCCCGTTAAGTACAGTAAGAAACTCAAATTTCAGAAGGCAAATCAGGAAAAGATGCATTTGATAGTTTAAGGTTTTGTCCCACAGGAGCTAGAAGAACTTGAGCAGTAGAGACACCCCTCACAATTTCATCACAACCTAGCTCTTCAGCTGTGGAATGTTTGAATCCCAAAATTAAAGCAAGCATTTACTAGACTACCTAAAATCCTGTCAAATCTGATTTCCTCAGCTGGATGAAGTCTTCTTCAGGTACAGCAAGGCAATCAATACTAGCCAAAGTCTTTCCAAAAGAAAGCCCACCTAAAATAACCTTTGTTTCATTCTCAGGCCTAATGTTACCAGGCTGGACTGCATCTTTGTTGCCGCCAACCTCACAACCCTGAAGAACTCTGCTACCCACAGGACAAAATTGTGAGCTCCTTATCTCTATCTCAGAGCAACTCCAGGCAATCAGGAAGCAGTTTCACTGTCTGTATTAATCTTTGCAGTACAAAGGCTTCCAAATTCGTCCATGCAATAGCTCAGCACTGACCCAGAGCTGTGTGTAGGGGCATGAACTTGCCTTTAAGCAGGTAGTGCCTTTAAACACTGCTACTACAGAAGACAAGGAAGTAGAAGTGAGAGTTTTTTTTCTGTTGTGTCAGAAGCTGGTCATATTCCAAACAGCTGGGTGGTTTTGCTGAACACTCCCCATATTCACAGCCCCTGTGCTGGTGAGGTCGATGTTGAGCAGAGGGACTGGGAGGAAGATTTCTTTCTGCTTCACTTAAAGCCTCCAACATTAAGCAAATTTCTGTTAACCAATATCTCCCTATTCAGGCCCTCTTTCAATGGGTACAAAAGGAATCTTAAGAGTATGAACAGCTATCAGATTCTTATTTGTGTTTTTAACTAAATCAAAAAACTGTTTATGAGTGCAACATTTAAATTCCATGCCACTGCAAAAATTAGTTTTAAAATTTTTGCTTCCCTCTTAAGAGGAATTGGCTAAGCAGAAGATTCTTCATCTAAATAAACACAGTACAACTGATTCACAAGATACTGTTGGAAATCACTGTACTTAAATGATCTTAGCCAGTACCCTGATACAATTTAAATTGCAGTCAGTATGCTTAACCAGAAACACAAAACAAAATCCCCCATCAAAATCACAGGAACCAGAACGATAAATTATTAATTTCCCAAAAAACATTTGGTTTTATAGAAGTGATTGTTCCGTTATACAAAGAATTACTGCTTATTAGCATAACTCTGTCAACAGTTTGCACTATGAATTTTGTCATGTTCTAAGGAAGCTTTAATAAATTATCCCCAGAAACTAGCTGCATCCAAGCTTGACTTGATGTTGTGCATATTTTCTCGACGTTGTTTGGTGTAAATATTTGCCTCTCCTTTTTGCAGCCGTTGCCTCAGAGCAGACTTTTGATGTTTGGTCAGTTGACGCTTCACCTTCCGTTTCACCAGTTCCTACAAATAAACCAACAACTGAGTATCAGAATGATAATGCATTTTCAGTGCTAACACAAACACACATACGAGACCTCTGCACACCGAGAAGTTAGTGATCCACACAACAGTTACTGAGAGCAAGTCCCAGTCTGTGCTGTGCTGTATTATGCTGCATGTACAGGGCTGTTTTCAGGTCTGTGTCGAGCTGCCCAAATCTCTTGGGCAGTAGCATAAACCAAGAGAGCTCCTGCTCAGTACTGGCAGTTAGGCCTCTGGCTTGGTGCTGCCTTTACCTAAACGAGCAGCAAGAAGTTCTCGTGTCAACATCAGTGCTGCCTGACTGTAGAAATGACAAACAGCATTGTTTCTTTGTCAGAAAATAAAATAGCTCCAATGACTGAAAAGAGAGATTCTCTATGAGCAAAGTCTGCATGGCATGCTGCATGCGTATTAAGAATCCTATTCAATGTTACAGCTCCAGGACTTCAGCATACAAATGGGTGCAGAAAAAAAAAAAGGCCTCCTACAAAGTGCAAAAATCAAGCCCTCTACAGAAATGTAAAGGCTGATAAAATTCTATGCTTGAAAATGAGACAAATGCCTATTAAGTTTAAAAAAACAACAACAAAAAAAAAAGACCAATAGACTATAGACTATTTCACATCCTCCAGTAATTACTTGGGTTTTACTTGTTTGGGTTTTTTTAGCATGTTACTTTTTTTCGTTGGTTGGTTGGTTTGGGGTTTTTTTTGTTGTTTGTTTGTTTTTAAAAAGTTGGGATTACAAAGATTTGAGTGTGGTTCTAATGGAAAGTAACACTCCTCACCACAAGTGTACCTAAAAAAGAGGTGCAGTCAGGAGTGATTTACAGTTACTCCTCCAGATTTCCCCTGTTGTGAGGCACTCTGGTATTGAGATCCACAAGATCTCGCGTTTCTACAGCAAAAATTTTGAAACTGAAGTATCAACAGCAACGGTAATTTCCATAAAACTACATTAGCTTTAATGATATTTCATGTTATTTACACCTAAGTTTGCATACTGAGTTCTGTATATTTATCCATAATAAAAAGTAAGCCCTGATTTAACAGATTATTGCTGTCATCTTGTCATTTGGAAGATGATCCCAGCTCAAACTGCTGCACTGATGCTGAGTGCACACTTGTAAACCTTGTCTTACAAGAAAAACAGGAATGAAAGTATTTTGATCGTGCCAAGTCCCTACCGTATGAAATACTTCCTTGTTGCAAGTCAAAGAAATGTCTTATTTTTATTCTGATTAATAGAATCATAGAATGGTTTGAGTTGGAAGGGACCTTAAAGATAATCTAGTTTCAACCCCCCCGCTATGGGCAGGGACACCTCCCACTAGATTGGGTTGCATAAAGCCCCATCCAACCTGTTCTTGAACACATCCAGTGATGGAGCATCCACAGCTGCCTTGGGCTTTCTGTCTCACCACCCTTCTAGTGAAGAATGTCTTCCTTACATCTAATCAAAACCTACCCTCTTCCAGCCTGAACCCTTTACACCTCATCCTATCGCCACAAGCCCTTGTACAGAGTCTCTCCCCAGCTTTCTCAGTGTGCCTCCTTCAGACACTGGAAGGCTGCAATCATGTCTCCCCAGAGCCTTCTCTTCTCCAGGCTGAACAACCCCACCTGTCTCAGCCTGTCCTAATAGGAGAGGTGTTCCAGCCCTTGGTATAATAAAGGACTAAAACCCAACCGTACAAAAAAATCTTATCAAGGAAAAAAATCTGCCCTTCATAAAAGATCTGTTGGTGCCCATATAACTGGACAAGAGGAAAAACACCCATCTAATTACATTTCCCTTATATGTATCTCAATTTCAGTTACCTCGTTGTGCTTTGTTGATTGTACTACCAATTCAACTTCATTCTAGCATATGAAGTAATGAGTTGGTAGGGAGTAAATCAGGAACCAGAAAGCATAACTTTGGCAAGTTATGCTCTTTCAGAATTGTTGCGACTAGTACAACTAAAGTAACAACATACAAGGTAGTCAAATCCAATTATTCGCTCGTGATTTCAACAGGAATTCTGTACTAATTAGGGAACTCCCTGAACAGCAGTTTCCTAAGTTATGTTGCATGCAGGCTGACTGTTGAAATGTGGGTGAACAACCAACCAACAGCATGTGATGTGTCTGTCTTTCCTTGGTTACTTAGTACCACTCAGTATTCATACAGCTCTTTGGAAATAAAAATTATAGATTCTCTTTAGAAACATTGCTGAAGAACAACTAATCAGAACCAGTTTAACCCTTTGTACTGATGTTTTTCTTCTGCCAACAAAGCATCTGTCATTCTGTTTTGTCTACGGGCAGAACCCTGAAAGAAGGGTTCACTATTTCTCCCTCTCTGGTCCAGGACAAGATTACTAGTTTATACAAAATTTGCTCTAAGTTTTGCAAGACAGATACCGGAAGTCTTTTGACATGTAACCAGAATGTAAATTCACCAAATTCTATTGCTCAAGCACAGCACTTGACTAACCAGCCTTTCTATCACCATAACCTACATGCCACCAAACAGTGAGAAATACTTCCCAGTAAACAGATTTTCATTTTTTTAATTTAATTTTTTTTGATCATTCACATTGTTTCCTCTAATTGAACTAAATCAGTGCATATAAAGGCTTGCACAAGCACAGGAAGTTACCTTACTTCATGTGGAATACTCGATTTTCCAAGATTCATGATGCTTTCTCTTTTTGGCATAGTCTCCAAGTTATGACAACCTACTGCTGTTACTGCCATTGTTTATCTATGCCTATATGAATTCGTTGGCATGATTAAATCAAAAATCTGCTTATGCTTTAGTACATTTTCTCCCCTGAACAGAAAGCAAGCTGTACAAATAACAGATAAATGCTAGCAGCACAACAGGCATCAGCTTTAAGCAGCCCAGTGGATCTTACTGCAGTGCCATTGTTTTCTAATTATTTTCTTATGTTACAAACAGCTCATTATACGTATAATTTTTTCAGCTCTAACACTCGAAGTTAAAATAAGATTCAGCAGTGAGCAGAACCATTATTTTACTCAGCTTAAATGCACAGAAGTGAAAGCATTACATAAGGTAAACTGGTGCAGGATAAAGTTCTTTTATGTGGCTGAATCTCCTGAATACTTTTCTGCTAATGTGGTTTTATCTTTCATTTACAACAGAAGATTAGATATGTACACACTTTTTACATATTTTGAATACATTTTATGTGTCTGCCTACAAACAAACACACGTTCTTTCAATACTCAAGAAGGTAGATACATAATGATCACTGGTACCACCAAGTGGTGTTCAGCAGTACAGTTTCAAGTAATTGCCTTTCTAAGACTTTGCAGTACCATTTTAAAAAGATATTTTATTTTTTAATTCTACATTAAAATTATCAGGCCCAAAAAAAAAAAAAGAAGGAAGAAAAAAATATTGTATGCTAAGAAATTCCTGGCAGGTCATCCTGGCTCTTGTTTACTTCATCCCATAGTTTTAAACTAATGCTTTGTCTCCTTAGATACAATGCCGTGCCATTAAATAAGAACTGTGGTGGCAAAGATCAAAACTTTTTTCCTCCCATAAAGTCCTGTAAAATATGCCTTAGACAAGGCAGAAACGTGCTGATCCTTAACACCTATTTGCACATGTAACTTTTATCCATTATTAGAGTACCATTCAAATACTTATTAAAAAAAAAAGGCAGTAAAAGCAGCCAACTATTCCATTACTATTATACCCACTGAGAGGCACCTTGTGTAAAACAAGGCTCCTCCACACACTAACGCAGCTCTTCATAGGAGAGCAGCTACACCTTTGTTAGAAAACTAGTGAAGAGGTACGTAGCAAACTGAAAAGGGTGTAACTGAGGAAGACCAAGCCTGATTTTAAAAAAAAAAAAAAAACAACAACAAAACCAAAACCCCAACAGAAACACAATTTTGCCAGCACTAGAGCTTCCAAATATAGTATTCAAAAACTAATACTCTAATTATGCAATAGAAATGCTTTGAAAACACACAAATTGCGAAAGTGCTTGTTTATTTTTGGAACACGTCATAAGAGAGCTGAAATTACACTAATGTGGATTTTTCAGATCTTCTGCTCCTAACTGCAAATGAAAGTGAGGCTGAACATATTTACAATGGCAATTAAAGAAACACCTCATGGATCAGCTATCAGCTGAAACAAGTTTCTTCCAGTTTTGTACAAGAATACTTTATAACTAATACAGAACATCGGATTTTCTTGCCTTTAAAATGAAAACATAGTTTTAAGACTGTGACAGAGGTAGTAGTCATACTGGCTAGTGTAAAGTCTGGGGTTGAAGACATTAAATTCTTCTAAAAATGTTCTGATTTATGTAATGTAGAAAGTTAAATGAATTCATATTGCTAAAGAAATCACTACTGAAGTGTCTTCATATAAGTGGTCCAGAAAAGAGTGTGAAGAAATCTTTAAGAAGACAGGTGAAAAACGCCAAATTAAATCTTGACTCAATCATCCACTTTTAAGACAAAAAATACTAATTGTGGCTAGCAAGAGAAATTAATTAACTGACTATATTTTAGTGCATTAACAAATATTAGCCCATTAATGGCTAAATGAGAGTTGTTAATACCGACGCAGAGCTCTGGTGAAAGAGCAAAGAACAATACATGAAGGAAAGTGCTGGAAATCATTCACTGTGAACAACTGCACAAGTATCAGACCTATTTTTCTCTGGGCATGGAAATATAAACCCTCAGAGACGCACGTATTAACAGTCTTTTTAAAGACAATGTTAAAGAACATTTTTACAAATAGGTAGCAGCTGTGTGCAACTTAATATAGTCTCAGAATAACCAGATAATAACAGCATATAACTAATAAAATTGTAATTATAACATCAATAATATTCTAATAATATTGTTATTAGAATATATACGTAGCATTAGGCCAGCAACAACAATACTTACCGCTGGAATGGTTGAACAGCTCCCAGCACTTGTGACTGATGTGACACTTCTCGTCCTTGTTCTGTGCTCAGCAGTGGGAACAACACTCTCTTCACTTCTAAAATACACAAGTCAACGTTTTATTCTGCTAACAAGGTAAATATCCTTTGCTTTTATGAGCATCATGTTTTAGTCCTACCTTTTTGAGACATAATCTGAAAAGTCCCTATAGAACATGCAAGTACCACAAAACATTACACATTTTAATACTAACCATATTATTTATATAATATATAATACTAGTTGTTCAAAACAGGCATTTTACAATGGAAGAATTTGTTGCACAATAGCCACATGCATACCAAGCACACGAAAAGAAGCTTCAAAGCACTAAAAGAAAAATATTTCAGATTCTGCACAACATTTTGACATGTCATTTCACTAAAAGGCAAAAGCAGAAGAGGGAGGAGTATTAGCTTGGTATATGCAACCAGGTACACTGTGAGCTGGCAAACTCCAGGTTAGGGACTAGTCTGCAGGTAAGCAGGAATTTCTAAGCATGCCAGGAAAGGAATTAGAAGCTGGAACAAACAGTACAACATTTGAATAATAGATTCCAAGGAGCTTATTCTCGCTAACTTCAGCTAAGCAAGCAGCAGAATAATGTCTTTGTGACAAAGCATTCAAATTACAAACTTCAATAAATAAGTTATTTAGAATCAGTATTTTACTATTAAGAATTCTTTCACTACTAGCACTAATAAAAAAACCCACCAGAGAATACAGGTAGGAATACAAACCAAACTGAAGACCACTGCTCTCTTTAGATACAACTAGACAGCTGACAACTCATCTGTCACACATTATGTGTGAAGCATTACACATCTAGTACCCAATCAACAAGTTACCTATCTTGAGAACAACAGGAAAGATATTCACTGCAATGTTTTCAAAAGAAACTGACTGCTTACTCTTCAACTGAAACATGGGTAGCTAAGAGTAGTCCTTTTAGAGCTGTCTGGAAGATTTACATTTATTGAGGAGAGGGGAGGAACCACAGTCCTACACAGTAAATATGAATCTTTACCTGTAATGCCCAAATTTCTTGTTTGAAGTTGACAAGTCAACCAGATTAGGGCATTTGTCTTCATCCTCCTGATCACTGCAGCACTCTCCTTGAACTGTCTGATTTTTGATTTCAGCAGCATTTTCAGTTATGCTTTTGCCCCTAAAAAAAGAAATTGCAGAACTCTCTGCATCTTCACCAGCCCTCCAAAGCACAGCCTGCCCTTCCACTTTTTCTAAGGCTGAACTCAACGTTGACATATTCAGCCTTTGTGTATTTTCACCACTTTCAGCTGGATCAGCATCTTCATCAGTATTCCTAAAGCTGTTCACGACTCTGCTTTCAGAGAAACCACCCACTTCATACTCAAAGTCTGCATTGTTTACTTCATTTTTGTTGAGGAAGATAAGCTTCTTATCAGCATCTTCTGCAAATTCTGATACCTCTGTTGTATTATCATCCTCATCAGAACCTGATGAGTAAAGCAGTTCACCATCTTCCTGCATTTCTTTTGTACAGCCGCTGGCAGCAATCTCTCTATCCAGAGAACATTCTCTCCTGGGAAAGAAGGAGAGAGTTCTCTTTTAACATGCTAAACCATTAAGCTACATTTTGGATTAAAAATACTCATGAAGCTAGACCATAATGATCCATATTATTAACGAAGAAGATATATATACCCTGCTGACAGAACACCATATGATGGTGCTGAGCTTTAGGTGAAGTATTAATAGAATGTAACCTGAGGGAAACAAACTTCTACAGAAGATGAATCCATCTCCACAACCAACATTCCTTTTTTATTTATAGGAAATTATTTTATTTTAGCAGGAATAGAATTTGACTTTGATGTCAGATTATGTTCAAGCAAACAGAAGAACAGAGTACACTGACACACAGAGAGAGATTCAAGTGTGGTATCCCTTTGGAAAAGATCTCTTAACAAAATAAAGCCTTTTCCATTGCAATGTCTTCAGTCCTAAAGTGAAAATTACTTTTCGAAAAGGACAAAAAACATATGGAAGAAAATTTTGAACATAATAATGTGGCACCATACCATTTTATTAGCATTTTACAAATAAATGTGAAAGTAAAAGCCAAATTAATCTTCAATACACAAGAACCATCAAATAGGCTTCGAGAAGTGTGAGAAATTGATCCTGCACAACAGTTAACATTTCCTAGATATTTACCATTTGAATCAAGCTTTTGGACTGATCTCTCAGCTGCAAGCGTAGAGGCAGAGGAGGCAGCTCCACACTTCAAAGTATACTTTAGGTTTTGGAAACTACTTACAGGAACTTTGGTTGAAGAAAACACAATAGGAACAATAAAAATAAAATTTAAAATTGCATAATTGGGCCTATTTTTTAAATTTTTCCTACAAGCACCTCTCACAGGCAGCCATTTTTCTCAAAACACCAACACAAATACCATAAATATTGGAACTCAAATTCATCTGGCAGTTTCTACCTGATGTCTTTGAACACTGGAAAGAGCTCACTCTCATAGTTGAAGCGTTTCTTAAAGAACTCCTTGATACAGTTAACATCTCTGTCAAAATACCTGTAAAAAAAAAAAACACAAACCACCACAGAATTTTTACAAACATGAAATCAAAGTAATGAAGCCTACTGCAATGATTAATGTTTACCCTACATTTCTTGTCTTTTACTGACTTTATTTGAAAATTATTTCTATTAGTGATCCCAAGACAAAAGGCTAGGGACACAAACGGCATGCAGTTTATTTGTAAGCACTTCTTAGCTGAACAACATCATTCTCTCTGAGAAGAAATTAACTGCAAATGTATCCTAAAGAGACAATTCTACTAATTCACAAATCAAACTATATTTGGAACGCTATTTGTGCAGACTGACAACAATGGTACAAAAAGAAAAAAAAACAGTGTTATGGAAAGATGTCATGCCTGACTACTCGCTGTCCTCAGCACTTCTCAGATTTAGTTTAAAAACACCTTTAAATCTGAACTTACCATTCAGCATTTGTATGTGATGTTGATATCATCTGAGGGAAATCAATCACAGTGACACGATCTTCATTATCCAGTATGATATTAAATTCATTGAAATCACCATGAATCAAACCGTGACTGGCAAATTTTACAATCAGATCCATTAATTCACTGTAGATGGAGGCTGGATCTTCCATTTGGCGCACGTGGCACCTGAAAATTAAATAAAATATTCTGAACCTGAAAGTCTTAATTTAAAAATGTTGATGAAGAAATACATCTGACAAAATGCCTGGGTAATTCAAGCTAAATGGGCTCTCAGGTCTCTAGTCAAATACCTTCCTCAAATCTGTGTCAGCTCTGAAATTAGACCAGATTGCTCAAGGCTTTGTCTAGTTGGAGCCTGAAAAATTCCAGGGATTGAGAGAGACTGTGCAACCTCCTCAAGCACCCTGTGCCACCTCAGCATCCTCAACGGGAAAGAACATCTCCCTGTATCTGGGCTGAAACTCATTTCAAGTTATGTTCATTGTTTCCCATCAGGCAACACTTTCATAATGTATTATTTAAACACTGGATGGATACATTTTTGTGTTTCTCCTGGTTTAGGTAATCACACGGCCTTGGCAGTAACTAGGTCTTCCTGTACTCAAATGCCCCATGACATTTTTGTCAACAAAAACATATTTCTAGACTAAGTTAGGAGAAAAAAAAGAAAAGCTTAAAGCATTCATGACCTGAGAAAATAAAGTACCTTAGGTGGCAAATAAAATGCTGGCCTTTACAAATAAACCAAGTGAAAAGGCAGTTATCTTATTGTTCCATGAACTTTCAAGAAGCGGTCAGCATTTACAGTTACTGTGAAATATTTTGGTCCTAATACAGTACTACAGTATTATTAGAACGGATCATTTGTACAATTAAAGAATGAACAATGGAAGTCTAGCAGCTCTGTAATAGGCTCCTGTTGAACACTTTCATATTAATACAAAAATTAATTGGTGTCAATTCTCATAGCCACAGGTCTGTATCATAAAATGTCCTGCTTGCTCTTTGAATCAGGAAGTCACGTTAACTGGTATCTTCTGAGATAGAAATCTCAGGTCCTAGGGGGAAGAGTTGGAGTAAGGAAGAGGTAGTCTTGGTGGAAGAGCATCAATTCAGGGGATAATAAATCAAACTGGACACAGGTTAAGTCCATGAACCCTCATGGGATGTACCTACAAGCACTAAGGAAGCTGGCAGGTACCATTGCAAGGCCACTCTTAATATATCACTGATCAATCATGGCAACTGGAAGAAGTACTTGAAGACTGGAGAAAGGCAAATATCACTGCCATCTTCAAGAAGGGCAAGAAGGAGGACTCGGGGACCTACAGGTTGGTCGGCCTCACCTCAAGCCCTGGAAAGCTGATGAAGCCGCTAACCCAGGAAAACACTGTCATTAACATTAAAGAGAAGAAAACGGAAAGCAGCTTGGCAGAAAAAGAAAGACCTGAGGGGTCCTCTTGGACACCGAGCTGAATATGAGCCAGGTATGTGCCCTTGTTGCCAGGTCAGCTAACAACATTCTCAGTTGCCTCAGACAAAGTACTGCCAGCAGGCTGAGGGAGGTTACCTCTCCCCTTTAGTCAACAGTGGCAAGGGAACACCTGGAGCACTGTGTCCAGTTCTAGCCTCCCCAGCAGAACAGAGACATTGACATCCTGGAGAGAGTCCAGCAAAGGTCCACAAGGATGATCAAGGGATTGGGACATCTCTCCTACGTGAAAAGGCAAACAGCTGGGACTGTTCAGCCTGGTGAAGAGAAGGCTCAGGGGAAATCTCCTCAATGTGCATGCCAGTGTAAATACCTGAATGGAGTGTGCAAAGAGGACAGAGCCAGGCTTTTTTCAGTGATGCCCAAGTGGCTGGACAAGAGCCAACAGACACAAACTTAAAACACCAGAGGGTCTGCTGCTACACAGAGAACATTTTTTTCCACTGTGAAGGTAATTGAAGACTAGCACAGGTTGCTCAGAGAAGGTCTGGAATCTCATTCCTTATATATATTCAGAAGTCAACTGGACACAGTCCTGCACAACCAACTCTAGGTGTCCCTGCTCAGGCAGGAAGACTGGACCAGATGACCTCTGGGGGTTCCTTCCAACCTCAACCATTCTGTGATTCTGTGAAATTCAAAATAAAGTAGGTAGACTAGGAAAAAGCCAAGTCAAATTTGGCAGGAACTCTGGATAACCCTGTACTTTTCAAAGGCAGCATAACTCCAAGTCCCCAACTCTGAACTAGTTTTTCAGCGTGAGCAATGGAAAATAGAAAAACTGGGAACAGGCTCTAGGTGTCCCTCCTTGAGCAGAGTATTTGGACCAGGTAACTGCCAGAGGTGCCCTGCAACCTCAACTATTTGGAGATTCTTTGATGTTTGCATAGTTGAAATAATCCTCATCCACTAGTCATTTCTTCAGGTTAGATTCACAAAACAGAGAGAGCATGGTAAACTTCCATGTCTTAAGATGCAGATGTCTACATGGAATTTGAAATGCTCCATGTACATGATGGATGTGGAATTGTTTAATAAATGATGGTGGGGAGACAGAAAATAAGTCTTTTCTGTGTTACTCTTCAACTGTTACACTTGTTAATTAATTCCCTTTTGATTAAACTGCACACTTTAGATTTTGATTACTTTACCAAGAGAATAAACTGTTTTTTCCAGAATCTGACACTTTAAATTTCTATATAGGCAGTTGAATTATTCTATATTACATAAAATATATAGGCCTTTTGCATGCTGCTCTGCAAAAAAACCCAAACCATCCCATCACATACAAACCACAACGAGATTTAATGTTTCCATACATTGAACAACTCAATTTTCCTCAGAGAAGCAAAAGCAGATTACATGTGCTATTCTAGGTAAACAGAGCAGAAGTTCTAGAAGAGTGAGGTTTTATAATCTTACCTGAATTACTAGAGCAAGGATGATTACGTGGAGCTCAGAATGTGAAGGTTATTATAATCAATATTGTATAGATCAAATAACACAGAGAACATGTGATTTCTGTGTAGAAAACACTTGCAGTACTAATTGGGGTCACACTGCTATTTTGATGTATTCCGAACTGTAAAAAATTACCCTATTTTACCAGTTTCTTTGGACTAAGAAAAAAAACAATTTCTCTGAATAGAGATAAGAGATGCAAGATTTTAACTATGTAGAAGGGTAATGAGTGTGGGCAGAGACCATTATTCAGCACAGTAAAGTCAGAATTCACCCACATGAAAAGAAAACACCCTAACCCTGTCACCTTACTGAACCCAACGCAGAGAATAATGCTTCAGTACTTACAACGGATAACCATCAATGAGTTCCATAACAACTGCATGCCTGTTATAGTCTACAGGTTTTGGAACAGGGAATTCTCTGTCATGCAAAGCCTGGAAAGAATGCAAAACATTCAAAAACTAAACAGTTAAGAAAACATTACATATATTCACAAACTCCCCTCTACGATAAGCAATAAATACTACGGCGGAAGCAGCATATATTACTTAAATGCTAACTAAAACAAAATCAAATCACATGCTTAAGAAGGAAGACAGCATAACAGCCAATCAAACTTTCACTGTAAAACCAAATAAAATTATTAAGTTTAGACAGTAAGTGCACTGCTTGATTTTCTACAGTTTAAATACCATGCATCCGGAAGGAAAACATAACAGAATGGAAAAATGCTAGAATTATATTTGGTCTGCTAGACAGACAAAATTATGAAAAAATTCCCCAGTAAGTTGCCACCAATACAGTTCTGCCTAACTAGTTAATCCATACGCAGCTGGTCTAAGACAAAACTTCATTCTTAAATATTAAAAACCACCATTACACCACATTTAAGATTACCCAAGGGTAGGTCATAATATTTAGAAGCTCTCTGGTCTGCTTTTTCTAACACAAATTCGCTTGATCCACTCAACTTTTGGGTTCATTCTATTTTTCACTCATTCTGTTGCCACCAGTGAAATTTTTTTAAAAGAGTTCCAAGTTAAAGCAACATAAATAAGGCTTTTGTTACTTAAATATTATACTATTATCACTTTTCAGCATGTAATTAATCCTCTCCCAACTCTTTTTTTCAGGAAAACTGACCCTCACAATTATATCCCTCCAAGTTCTGACTGCATAATGTGTTACAAATTGGACCAACTGGACCACTATAGAGATTATAAATAATAGTAACAGTTCCTTCTCTCTCTGTGGAGGCTACTGGTAGAACCTATCACAGTTTTTTAAGAGAAACAAAAAATAATATTTAATGTATATAGTACTGTTGAATAGCACGAAAGGAGACGGGAAAAATCAGTTCTTTGTAAGCAATTAGTTTTCCACTCTGAAATTTCAGCCATTATATAACATCCCCGTTCTTTTAAAGCAGGTCAAAAAATCTGCAACTCTGAGGATACCAATGAATGTGTGGAAATTAAATCTTTTCCCATAGTACAGAAAAAAGTGTGCCTTTTCAGATGATAAGGCTAGTCTGGACTGAACTATTTCCCTCAAGAGCACAGCAACAACAGAAAACATGGTAAATTAAAAAACAAATAATTTTTTTTTAAAAAAGACAACTGAACAAAGAAGAAAAAAATAATTCTGACAAGTAATTGTAAATTTCCTTATTTTTTAAGGTGTTTTTAGAAGTTTATGCAATATATTTTAAAGGAAAAGCAGCAGAACTGGTGACATATACCACCCTGGAAAGGTGATGGAACAGCTCATTCTGGAGGTCATCTCTAATCATGTGAGGGAAATGGTTATCAGTACTCAGCATGGATTCATCAAGGGGAAGCCACTCCCAACTAATCCAAGAGCTTTCTGTGACAGTGTGACGAACGGGTTAGATGAGGGGAGAGCAGAGGATGCTGTCCACTTCGACCTCAGCAAGGCTTTTGACTCTGCCTCCCACATCATCCTCACAGATGGGAGCTCAGAAAGTATGAATCACATGAGTGGACACTGAGGTGCAATGAGAACTGGTTGAACAACAGAGCTCAGAGGGTTGTAATCAGTGGTGTAGTGTCTAGCTGGAGGCCTGTACCTAGTGGTGTTCCCCAGGGATCAGTACTAGGTCCAGTCTTGTTCAACACATTTATCAATGACCTGGATGAAGGGACGGAGCATACCCTCAGCAAGTTGGCTGATGATACAAACAACACTGGGAGGAGTAGCTGACACACAGGTGGCTGCGCTGCCATTCAGCCAGACCCTGGATAGGCTGGAGAGTTTGGGAGAGGGGAACCTAATGAAGTCTAACAAGGGAGTCCTGCCCCTGGGGCAGATTTAACCACATGCACCAGGACAGGTTAGGGGTTAACCTCCTGCAGGGCAGCTCTCTGGAGAAAGACCTGGGAGACCTGGTGGACAAGTTAACCATGAGCACCAGCAGTGTGCTCTTGTAGCCAAAAAGGCCAACGGTATCCTAGGGTGCATAAAGAATAGTCACCAGTAGGTCAAGGGAAGTTCTCCTCCCACTCTACGTTGCCCTAGTGAAGCCACATCTGGAGTACTGTGTCCAGTTCCAGGCTCTCCAGTTCAAGAGAGACAGAGAACCACTGGAGAGTCCAACAGAGAGCTACAAAGGTGTTAGGAGACTGGAAGATCTCTCTTACAAGGAAAGACTAAGTGATCTGGGCCTGTTTAGCCTGGAGAAGACTGAGATGGCATCTTATCAATGTCTATAACACCGAGAGGGTGGCTGTCAAGAGAATGGGGCTCTTTGCAGTGGTGCCCAGTGACAGGGCACAAACTGGAACACACAAAGTTTCAACTAAACCTAAAGAAAAACTTCTTCACTATGAGAGTGACAGAGAACTGGAACAAGGTGCCCGGAGAAGCTGTGGAGTCTCTTTCTCTGGACACTTTCAAAATCCACTTGGATATGTTCCTGTGCAACCCAACCTAGGTGAACCTGCTTTGGCACAGGGGTTGGACTAGGTGGTCTCAGGAGGTCCCTTCCAACCCCTGTGATTCTGTGACATGTAAATTATCTATGCATAAGTAACAACATTACTTTGAAATTCTCTCATGATTACCAGCTTCTGTTCCACAGGACTTCCATGGCAAAGCTTTGTTTTGTCTTGAAGAATATACAAAACATACATCACAGAAATTATCTGAAACCTTAAGTCCATTTGGAAAAAGAAGTGTAAATCCTACCAGTACTGCAAGCATGAACTCAAATCAAAAGACAGTCTGAGAAGTACCCCCTTGTCCATCACACCACCTCTGAAATCTATGAATGGCCACCTACCTTCATATAGGCAAACTCCTTCATTGCTGCCAGCCGGGATAAATACAGCCACGACATCTTGTGTCTGTGCTTGTGGTAGTCACGTTTGTTTTTGAGACTGCGGAAGGAAGTTCTTCCAAGCCTATGTAATTTCAGTGCAAACTGCTGCTCATCTTCATTTGCAACAATGTAAATATCTAGAAGACACATAATGGCACAGATTTACTAAAGAAATGGTATGTAACAAGCTAGTATATGATGAAAAGCGGAGTGACAAGGTTGTCACTTCTCACAATTACTATTTCTGGCATGGCAAGTTCTACTACAATTAGCTGAATTTACACATTGTATATTAGAGAACTGGTAAAGAAAAAATTGTTGTTAAAGAGATCATGCTACTCCGTCAGAAAAAAACACTGATGTGATCTGAAACAATCAGAGTAGATCTTAAAGTTCCTACATTCAGGTTAACATGCCCAGGCTACCTGCACTGCAAAGAACAAATACGAGCTATCCCTGAGAGAATTCTAAGGCAGATGCTGCTGCTCCTAATCACAGCCTGGATGAGCTTTCTGCTTTCTATTGAGTGGACAGGCAACTCAAGGGACCAGTCTCTTAATTTAAGCAGTGTTAACAAATAGCCTATGTTTAATTTCTACCACTCGTCACCAATAATCTCCTTCTCGTTCTTCAAGTTCACAAATTACGCGCCACATCCAATTATAATCTACATGAACATAACAGGAACCAAGACAGTACGTGAATAGTTTTTAGGCTACTTTACCTAAGTGGGGTGAAAAAGCTGAAATCTTCTTTTTGCTAAAATAGTTGAAGACTTAATAAAGCATGAGACAAACAGCATCTCCCTGCAAAGCACCTTTTTAAGCTATGAACCAAGAATCAGAACGGTCAAAGCGGAGCAACACTCTTATGAAGAAACGTTCAAATGCAGATGGAAGCCTCACACAGCATTTCAACAACTGACTCCAAAATCTTGGTGTGTGACAGACTGACTGATGCGACTATCCAGATGAAAAATTTAATCTAGTTTCTCGCACAACATTTGCAACATTACAGACGTGTTCGCTTAATGAAATTATTAAAAACGTTGTAATTACCTGATTCTTTGCCGACACCCATCTGGTTTCCAACAGAACTTATGACTTGTCGTGAAGACAGAGTTTTCAAAGCAAGGTAATCATATCCTGCATTAGTCAACCGATAACCCTGGACAGCTAGGCAAGAATAAAATGCAACACAATACAATCCTTTCCTCATTACATATACATTACGTTTAAACTAAGTCTCAATTTCTTGTTTCAGCTTACAGTACACAACACCCAAGTAATATTTCACCTGCTGGGGTAATATCAGCCCAATTTGAGAGAATGGTAATGATGGCTAAGTTTCTTCAAGTTTTATGAAAATTGACAACTGGGCCAAACACAGATATGCTGTTGCCCCCTCTCTAATAGAAGCAACAGTAGTACCTAGAATAGCTTGGGAAAACCCAAGAGGCATTTATGAAGACACACACACAGGAGACAGAAGGGATCTGGGAGTGTTGTGATGATCTAGGGTGACCCTTAATGCTCTGAAGAACTGGCACATGAAGGATAGGGATTTCCTGAAAACTCCTGCAGCATGTTTGCAGAACCAAATACAACTAAAAGGCTGAAGGAAATAGGGAAAGGCTTGCAAAACTATTACTTGTCACTGCTTCTTTACAGCTTGTACTTGTTGCTGTTTCTGAGGGGGCACAATATACAACAAGGCTTTTTTTGCAGTCTGCTCCAGTTCGTGTACTGTAAGACAGTAACTCATTTGGGTTGGTTCCCATACAAATTTGAATACTGCCTTAACTGACAATTCTTTTATTTTTCATCACTTTGGTGACCAAGCAAAAAAGAAAGTTAACTGTTCATCTCTTTTCTGCCTGTCATTTTTATAGGCATGAGCAGCTCAACAGACAGCAGTAACATCTGGTGCTGTACAGCTCCGTATTCGCAGGGTAGGTCCGAAAGAAGGCACGTGGTCTGGATGCTCACACGTGCCAAGCTTGTAGAAGTATCACAGTGAGACACTGGGGATAGAACGAGAGAGGGAACCCACCATAAAATTCAAACTCACTTTTAGTTTGTTCATAAGCTAGAAGTTTGTGTTTCACCAATTCTCTCAAAATTTTATTACAGCCACCATGTTTAAGGCTGGCAATGGAAGCAACTAAACTAGCAGGAACGATTTCATGGTTCTTCATGCCCATTTCCACCTAAAAGAGTAAATAAAAACAGACTTATTAGCCCTGGTGTTCAGCTATGAAATAATATTAGGTCCCACTTGAGACTAAAATCACTTTTCATGGATTTTTTTTAATGATTCAACCAAAACCTTTTAATATGCATCACTGCCCCCTATTAGCCTTTCTATAATTCAACCTTGCAACTTCTGCAGGACCAGCCAGAAGCTGAACAGCTGATTTGATTTCAGTCACAGGAACGGGTAAGAGCTGCTCTACGCTTGTGAAAGGAGATCCTTTTCTCGTGTGTACACAGCCACGACCCACTCTGCCTTTTCACCAGTACTCCTGCTGTCAGCCGAGTCAGACAGGCCAAGCGGCACAACATGTGCTCACCGTGCCACTAGGCAAGGAACCGTGCTGTGCACTAGCAAGCCTCTGGCCACTCCTCGTTAGCCAGGGTGCCAAAAGCAATCGGCACGTGTGGAGAAACTGGTGACGGCATCTCACCGGGGGGGCCACGGCCTGCCCAGCCCCAGCGACAGCCCTGGGTTAAAGATTCCTCCGGGGCTGCCCGCTGAAGGCACGACCGGCAAGACCCGGGCCCTTCCCGTCAGAAAACCCCAACCTCAGGCCCAGAACAGCAGCAGACCCCATTCCCCGCCGCC